TGTTCATACTGACTTTGATCTTATAAACTGTCCTGAAATACAACACAAGTAAATAGTTTCTAATATTTTAATCCTTTTAACCAATATTCATGATGCAATATGTTTTCAACACAAAAACATTATAGATGACTGAACTACTACATGGTTCACTTGACTGGACAAACTACATGGTTCAGTTGACTGGACTACTACATGGTTCAGCTGACTGGACTACTACATGGTTCAGTTGACTGGACAACTACATGGTTCAGTTTACTGGACTACTACAAGGTTCAATTGACTGGACTACTACATGGTTCAGTTGACTGGGCAACTACATGGTTCAGTTGACTAGATGACTATATGGTTCAGTTGACTGGACTACTACATGGTTCAGTTGACTGGATAACTACATGGTTCAGTTGACTAGATGACTACATGGTTCGGTTGACTGGGCAACTACATGGTTCAGTTAACTGGATAACTACATGGTTCAGTTGACTAGATGACTACATGGTTCAGTTGACTGGACTACTACATGGTTCAATTGACTGGATGACTACATGGTTCGGTTGACTGGGCAACTACATGGATCGGTTGACTGGGCAACTACATGGTTCAGTTAACTGGATAACTACATGGTTCAGTTGACTAGATGACTACATGGTTCAGTTGACTGGACTACTACATGGTTCAATTGACTGGATGACTACATGGTTCGGTTGACTGGGCAACTACATGGATCGGTTGACTGGGCAACTACATGGATCGGTTGACTGGGCAACTACATGGTTCAGTTAACTGGATAACTACATGGTTCAGTTGACTAGATGACTACATGGTTCAGTTGACTGGACTACTACATGGTTCAATTGACTGGATGACTACATGGTTCGGTTGACTGGGCAACTACATGGTTCGGTTGACTGGGCAACTACATGGTTCAGTTAACTGGATAACTACATGGTTCAGTTGACTAGATGACTACATGGTTCAGTTGACTGGACTACTACATGGTTCAATTGACTGGATGACTACATGGTTCGGTTGACTGGGCAACTACATGGTTCAGTTGACTGGACAACTACATGGTTCAGTTGACTAGATGACTACATGGTTCAGTTGACTAGATAACTACATGATTCAGTTTACTAGATGACTACATGGTTCAGTTGACTGGACTACTACATGGTTCAGTTGACTGGACTACTACATGGTTCAGTTGACTGGACAACTACATGGTTCAGTTGACTAGATGACTACATTGTTCAGTTGACTGGACAACTACATGATTCAGTTGACTAGATGACTACATGGTTCAGTTGACTGGACTACTACATGGTTCAGTTGACTGGACTACTACATGGTTCAGTTGACTGGACTACTACATGGTTCGGTTGACCGGACTACTACATGGTTCGGTTGACTGGGCAACTACATGGTTCGGTTGACTGGGCAACTACATGGTTCAGTTAACTGGACAACTACATGGTTCAGTTGACTGGATAACTACATGATTCAGTTGACTAGTTGACTACATGGTTCAGTTGACTGGACTACTACATGGTTCAGTTGACTGGACTACTACATGGTTCAGTTGACTGGACTACTACATGGTTCAGTTGACTGGACAACTACATGGTTCAGTTGACTAGATGACTACATGGTTCGGTTGATTGGGCAACTACATGGTTCAGCTGACTGGACTACTACATGGTTCAGTTGACTGGACTACTACATGGTTCAGTTGACTGGACTACTACATGGTTCAATTGACTGGATGACTACATGGTTCGGTTGACTGGGCAACTACATGGTTCGGTTGACTGGGCAACTACATGGTTCAGTTAACTGGATAACTACATGATTCAGTTGACTAGATGACTACATGGTTCAGTTGACTGGACTACTACATGGTTCAGTTGACTGGACTACTACATGGTTCAGTTGACTGGACAACTACATGGTTCAGTTGACTAGATGACTACATGGTTCAGTTGACTGGACAACTACATGGTTCAGTTGACTAGATGACTACATGGTTCAGTTGACTGGACTACTACATGGTTCAGTTGACTGGACTACTACATGGTTCAGTTGACTGGACTACTACATGGTTCAGTTGACTGGACTACTACATGGTTCAATTGACTGGATGACTACATGGTTCGGTTGACTGGGCAACTACATGGTTCAGTTGACTGGGCAACTACATGGTTCAGTTAACTGGATAACTACATGGTTCAGTTGACTAGATGACTACATGGTTCAGTTGACTGGATGACTACATGGTTCAGTTGACTGGACTACTACATGGTTCAGTTGACTGGACTACTACATGGTTCAGTTGACTGGACAACTACATGGTTCAGTTGACTAGATGACTACATGGTTCAGTTGACTGGACAACTACATGGTTCAGTTGACTAGATGACTACATGGTTCAATTGACTGGATTACTACATGGTTCAGTTGACTGGATAACTACATGATTCAGTTGACTAGATGACTACATGATTCAGTTGACTGGACTACTACATGGTTAAGTTGACTGGACTACTACATGGTTCAGTTGACTGGACTACTACATGGTTCAGTTGACTGGACTACTACATGGTTCAGTTGACTGGGCAACTACATGGTTCGGTTGACTGGGCAACTACATGGTTCAGTTAACTGGATAACTACATGGTTCAGTTGACTGGGCAACTACATGTTTCAGTTGACTGGATAACTACATGGTTCATTTGACTAGATGACTACATGGTTCAGTTGACTGGACTACTACATGGTTCAGTTGACTGGACTACTACATGGTTCAGTTGACTGGACTACTACATGGTTCAGTTGACTGGACAACTACATGGTTCAGTTGATTAGATGACTACATGGTTCAGTTGACTGGACAACTACATGGTTCAGTTGACTAGATGACTACATGGTTCAGTTAACTGGATTACTACATGGTTCAGTTGACTGGACAACTACATGGTTCAGTTCACTAGATGACTACATGGTTCAATAGACTGGATTACTACATGATTCAGTTGACTGGGCAACTACATGGTTCAGTTGACTGAATGACTACATGGTTCAGTTGACTGGACTACTACATGGTTCAGTTGACTAGATGACTACATGGTTCAGTTGACTGAACTACTACATGGTTCAGTTGACTGGATTACTACATGGTTCAGTTGACTGGGCAACTACATGTTTCAGTTGACTGGACAACTACATGGTTCATTTGACTAGATGACTACATGGTTCAGTTGACTGAACTACTACATGGTTCAGTTTACTGGACTACTACATGGTTCAGTTGACTAGATGACTACATGGTTCAGTTGACTGGACTACTACATGGTTCACTTGACTGGACTACTACATGGTTCAATTGACTGGACAACTACATGGTTCAGTTGACTGGACAACTACATGGTTCAGTTGACTGGACAACTACATGGTTCAGCTGACTGGATGACTACATGGTTCGGTTGACTGGGCAACTACATGGTTCAGTTGACTGAATGACTACATGGTTCAATCGACTGGACTACTACATGGTTCAATTGACTGGACAACTACATAGTTCATTTGATTAGATGACTACATGGTTCTGTTGACTGGACAACTACATGGTTCACTTGACTGGACAACTACATGGTTCACTTGACTGGGCAACTACATGGTTCAGTTGACTGGACAACTACATGGTTCAATTGACCGGACTACTACATGGTTCAGTTGACTGGACAACTACATGGTTCAATTGACTGGATGACTACATGGTTCGGTTGACTGGACAATTACATGGTTCAGTTGATTGGATGACTACATGGTTCGGTTGACTGGACAACTACATTGTTTACGTGGGTAACGTCCGAGTATACTGGTACTACAATGTTAAGTCGTATGTAAGCTTCAATGCATAACAAGTGTGTAATGGATAGGTAGCAACTCCGGTGTTTTAGAGGAAACAGTATTGCCATGGAAATGACATTAGACTGTACTGTTACAAAAAGTAATACGATTGTTCTATTGATTTCTGTTGCCTCGTGGTAAAACGTAACACTCCGGTATCGCGACTTGATACTAGGGAGAGTGAAATGTCTTACGTAATACACGTGAACATAGTTCTGTGCTTACCAAGCCGAGAACACGAGTTCCTGTTCTTCAATATCACTTGATGCACACTGTAACATTCAGTAATATTGGACGAAGTGTGACAAGTTTTCGCCAGTGAAGAAAATTCATTCTAACTTAATGTTTCCACGAAGGAAGTCTTGATATAGATCTTATTTGATTTGCTCATAAGTTGTTCGTGAAAAAGGCGCACATTATTTAGAAAAGTACTAGATATTCGGCACTTCCAATCACACAGATATATTAGCACGAGAACCCGAAGAATGTCTCCAATCGATTTCAGCTTGGCTTTGGAATCTGTTGTAATTACATCTTCCTCTTCCATAAATAGCAACGAAACATAAATGCATGAGTGCAATAGAAGCTGGGAGTCATTTAGTTTCAGATAACAGTTTAAATATGTGTTCTTTGAGATATAACTTGGTAAGTTGTTAAAGCTGTCGAGGCGCTAATGTATTGCCTTTATAATTATGATTCTGCAGTGTTCCATACAACTGTCAGAACATTCCAAACAAAGCTAATTATCCTAATAATGGTAAATCCTTCCATATTTTATCTGGACCGTACATTTCTGTTAAGTACGTTGATATCATCTACTGATCTGATATGGGCCAATGTGGATAGGATTTTAATTGTTTTATGGCGTTTTGTATCCCCGGTTCGTTTGAAGAATAGTTGCAGGCAAATCGACAGAGATTCATTGTAACCTCAGCACCAACGCTTGTTTGATCTGGATCTCTGAAAAGGTTTTCTGATCTGGGTCTCTGTGAGTTTGTCTGATCTGGGTCTCTGTGACTTTGTCTGATCTGGGTCTCTGTGACTTTGTCTGATCTGGATCTCTGTGACTTTGTCAGATATGGATCTCTGTGACTTTGTCAGATATGGATCTCTGTGACTGTCTGATCTGGATCTCTGTGACATTGTCTGATCTGGGTCTCTGTGACTTTGTCTGATCTGGGTCTCTGTGACTTTGTCTGATCTGGATCTCTGTGACTTTGTCTGATCTGGGTCTCTGTGACTTTGTCTGATCTGGGTCTCTGTGACTTTGTCTGATCTGGGTCTCTGTGACATTGTCTGATCTGGGTCTCTGTGACTTTGTCTGATCTGGGTCTCTGTGGCTTTGTCTGATCTGGGTCTCTGTGACTTTGTCTGATCTGGGTCTCTGTGACTTTGTCTGATCTGGGTCTCTGTGACTTTGTCTGATCTGGGTCTCGTTGACTTTGTCTGATCTGGGTCTCTGTGACATTGTCTGATCTGGGTCTCTGTGACTTTGTCTGATCTGGGTCTCTGTGACTTTGTCTGATCTGGGTCTCTGTGACTTTGTCTGATCTGGATCTCTGTGACTTTGTCTGATCTGGGTCTCTGTGACTTTGTCTGATCTGGGTCTTTGTGACTTTGTCTGATCTGGGTCTCTGTGACTTTGTCTGATCTGGGTCTCTGTGACATTGTCTCATCTGAATCTCTGTGACTTTGTCTGATCTGGATCTCTGTGACTTTGTCTGATCTGGGTCTCTGTGACTTTGTCTGATCTGGGTCTCTGTGACTTTGTCTGATCTGGGTGTCTGTGACTTTGTCTTATCTTGGTGTCTGTGACTTTTGTCTGATCCGGGTCTCTGTGACATTGTCTGATCTGGGTCTCTGTGACATTGTCTGATCGGGGTCTCTGTGAGTTTGTCTGATCTGGATCTCTGTGACTTTGTCTGATCTGGGTCTCTGTGACTTTGTCTGATCTGGGTCTCTGTGACTTTGTCTGATCTGGGTCTCTGTGGCTTTGTCTGATCTGGGTCTCTGTGACTTTGTCTGATCTGGGTCTCTGTGACTTTGTCTGATCTGGGTCTCTGTGACATTGTCTGATCTGGGTCTCTGTGACATTGTCTGATCGGGGTCTCTGTGAGTTTGTCTGATCTGGGTCTCTGTGACTTTGTCTGATCTGGGTCTCTGTGACTTTGTCTGATCTGGGTCTCTGTGACATTGTCTGATCTGGGTCTCTGTGGCTTTGTGAAATCTGGGTCTCTGTGACTTTGTCTCATCTGGATCTCTGTGACTTTGTCTGATCTGGGTCTCTGTGATCTGGGTCTCTGTGACTTTGTCTGATCTGGGTCTCTGTGACTTTGTCTGATCTGGGTCTCTGTGGCTTTGTCTGATCTGGGTCTCTGTGACTTTGGCTCATCTGGATCTCTGTGACTTTGTCTGATCTGGGTCTCTGTGACTTTGTCTGATCTGGGTCTCTGTGGCTTTGTCTGATCTGGGTGTCTGTGACTTTGTCTGATCTGGGTGTCTGTGACTTTTGTCTGATCTGGGTCTCTGTGACTTTGTCTCATCTGGATCTCTGTGACTTTGTCTGATCCGGGTCTCTGTGACATTGTCTGATCGGGGTCTCTGTGAGTTTGTCTGATCTGGATCTCTGTGACTTTGTCTGATCTGGGTCTCTGTGACATTGTCTGATCGGGGTCTCTGTGAGTTTGTCTGATCTGGGTCTCTGTGACTTTGTCTGATCTGGGTGTCAGTGGCTTTTGTCTGATCTGGGTGTCTGTGACTTTGCCTTATCTGGGTCTCTGTGGCTTTTGTCTGATCTGGGTGTCTGTGACTTTGTCTTATCTGGGTGTCTGTGGCTATTTGTCTGATCTGGGTGTCTGTGGCTTTTGTTTGATCTGGGTGTCTGTGGCTTTTGTTTGATCTGGGTGTCTGTGGCTTTTTGTCTGCTCTGGGTGTCTGTGACTTTGTCTTATCTGGGTCTCTATGGCTTTTTGTCTGATCTGGGTGTCTGTGGCTTTTGTCTGATCTGGGTCCCTATTGATCTGTATCCCTGTGGATTTGTCTGTTATGGGTCCCTGTATGTGTGTCTGATTTGGGTCCCCGTGTGTTTGTTCGGTCTGAGTCCTGTAGATTTGTTTGATATGGGTCCCTGTGGATTTGATTATAATTGTTTCTTGGTATTTTCTGCCCCCGTTTGAAGACTAGATGAAGGCAAATCGATTGAGATCCATTGTAACCTCCGCACCAGTGTCTTCCAATGAGAGTGCGAGATACAAAACAAGGGCTTTACAACCTCCGTCAACGAATGACATTCCTTCATGACACCCCAAGACAGAAAATGACACATATCTCATTAGTTCCTACTGTATAAAATTACGTCCATTTGTCCATGTAAACGCTTTCCCCTCCAAAATAAACTCAATAGAGTTTAATCAAAACATAACAGGTCACGAGAACAAATTTGTTCGAATTTTGTATTGAGTTTATATTCATTTGCGGAATGTAAACCTGATATCGGAAATAGTTTACGCAGCAAAAACGAAAAGAATACAGCAGTTTACAGGTACACGTAAATCAATGTGGATACAGTTGTCTGACAGGATGCATGTCAATATCACTTGGTTTCGCCTTGGCTGTAGAAATATGATCCGGTGTGTTGTCGCGGAGAATTTTATCACCTAGACAAGAAGGATGGACATAACGGCCTACAGCCCGAGGGGAACGATCAGACTGTGTGCAAGCTAAGCTTATCTATCCATTCCAGCACCGTCCTCTACACAATACTCAGCTGTAGTGTAGTTCCTCTCTCACAATATTAGATAATACAGAAACGTTTTAAAGTTACCAGTTAGTTTCGAGGAAGTAGCACCCATTTGATGTTTATAGATGGAGATCGGTTCTTACCACGGCTATCCAAATTGAATGAGAGAAGTTTGTGTAACTACAATGTGCCCTTGGTTGTTATTGGATTGTAACTTGGTGAAGAAAGTGGATAACATTCATCCGAACAGTTCCAGGAGTTTCTGAACTTAAAACATGTTTGTTTCTTGTTGTAGTGACATCCTGTTTACTCAGACTTGGTCCACAGCTTATACAAGTTGAGTGTTGAACGCTGACATGTACTCAATACCAAAACCATGTATATGGAAAGTTTGCCTTGAAGTACTGCTTAGCTGTGGCTTCATTTATGCTTTTATATTCGGATTCAAGTTTCGGAACAAACAAGAAATGCCTAGCAGCCCGTTTAAACCACAAATTACGGATAATGATATTGATGACTTACTACGGACTTTGGAGCGTTTCGACAAATTAATGACGGAGAATAATATCACGTATATACTGGAAGGTGGAACTCTGATTGGATCCTTCAGGCACCATGGCCCTATACCCTGGGATGACGACGTTGATGTCCTGGTCAACGCATCTGATAGAGATCGATTGGCTGAAATTTTACCCAAAATGAAGCCTGATTTTGACTTTTTTACTCCAGTTAATTATGCCTGGAAGTTTTATGACGCAAGATCCAAACACCTTCCATACAAACCATTTAGATGGCCATACGTTGATATCTTTTTCTGGAATAACAATGAAACACACATGTATCACGAGATCTACGTTAGACGTCCACAGTTTACAGCACCGATATACAAGATCTTACCACCTGTTCGGCGGAAGTTTGCACACCTCTCACTTCCTGTGCCCTGTAACCTGAATAGTGGATTACATGCCGTTGATTTGGATATTTGTGAATCTCCTACATATTCCCACAAGGCGGAGAAGTATATCCCTTTAAACCAGTACGCCAGTGTTCCGTGCTCGGAACTCGGACAGAAGTACGGGTTTGTGAAGCATGTTCAGACATCAGACGGACGGTGGAATGAGAGTATGATATTCCGTGAGATGGTGTTATATTCCATCATCACCCCGAAGTATTGCTGACTTTGTAATGTGCTGGTACTATAGGCAACCCATCTCGGTGACGTTGGAATTTAACAGTTTTGTAATGACTTCTATTTTTTCTTTTTCACTTTTTTGTCGTATAAGTTTTAAATTCCGTGCATTTTCTTCATTTTTCTGCTGTTGTAATATGTAATTTATTTCATAAGATACTTTTATTATTTCTCAGCTTTTATCAGAAATGCATGATTACATGATTCTGGTCTTTTCCATCTAATGAAATGTAGGGAAAGGTGATAAACTGACACATGGTTGTAACCAGTTAGAGGTATATATAAAACATAGTTCCACTACTCTACAAACAATAATCATCCCATACCAAGTTTTTTTCTGAGATGTGTGGTTTTATTCGTCCCTAGTCATAAAAATAAAGAATGATCTCTAACACTGTTGTTACGTTCAGAAATATTATACGTTCGAAATATGAAAATGCTCTCATGCTGACTCTGCCAGAAATGTATCTTTGGGAGTCAAGGCCACGCCTATCTGTTTGGTGTGATATATATCATACTCTCCTTGTTTTATGTTTTAGTTACAAGTCTCTGTAGAAAACGTGTTGAACGCTTCAGAGATAGTTTATCACCACGCTTGTATCGATCAGACGTCCCGTTAGGTATACAAATTGTTTTGATGTATGTTGTATGTTAGGTGTCATAAATTGTGTGGTGTTTCTTCAATAGCTGTTAGTAATACTGGCATATCATTTCTGTTGTGTACAAGTTATATATTTGGTTTCTGTTTAAATCTTGTTTTACTTATCTGGCTTATGACCGGTGTTTCATTTGACTGTTTTTCTATATACATGTATTTGATTTCTCTATGACGTGAATTGTTTATCCCAATACTTCTTTAAACTCTTCTGTTAGCGGATATATATCCTTATATTGTAAATGCTGATCAGACAACAATTAATAATTAACTATTTGACGTTTTTTTTTGTGTATTTTGAGGCTTATTTCATCCATACTGTGTATATCATCTATGAAAAACTGGCCCTAGCAGAAAAATCTTAATTGAAATCATGTGAAGGGATAATGTCTAATTAGACATCGTAATGAAGTATAATTGTGTCTGTTAGTGATATATAGTGTAGTTCGTTATCTGGTAATGATTTCGATAATTTTTTTATACTTTTTTTTGATATAGTGATAAACCTGCATCTAACAACATGTTCCACAAGACAGGGACCACCTCTATCTAATAGAACCGTACATAACACAGTATTCTTGTAGACCTATTTCAGACCATCACTAAATACCCTGGTACAGCTGGTGCTTTAACAACAGTCCAGCAAACCCTAGATAAATGTTATAGCTAAAGAATGTAACACTTTACTGTGTTCAATAATTCGTATAGTCACTTTTCAATCTTCTAATGAGAGAGCATCCCAACCAATGAAAATTCGACCAAATACGTACGTAGAGGGACATATTTCAGAAGGGGATGGATGGTCCTGTGGCGCATTGGTAACGCGCTCACCTTTGACCTTTGCGACCAAGATACGATTTCCCGATCGGACTTAAAAAGCTATGCCCGAACACATAGGTTTTCCCACACGAACCAAGGGTGTTGAATATGATACTAGCTCTTCTTTTCACTGAAAGGATAGAAAGTGATCCTATCCACATTGGACACCCTGTTGGACAAACTCTCATTTTTCTGGGAATTACCAAAACCTATGTTCAGGCGATGAAATGAGATAAAATGGTAATAAAAAGGAAATGTTAACAAGTGCACCTTGAATAGTCTGTCTACAGATGATGGTGGGATATGTCCTGACTTAAAGCCAAGGGGCCGGTTAACCGAGATAGCATATCTTACAATCGGTTACTGAAAACCACACAAGCTGAAATATTCTCCATAAAGACACAGACTACATGTCAATATGATAACGGGTACGGCGGGCTCTAAGACGAAGGGAAAATCTATTAAATGACAGGCAGACATGGGGTCGTTATGTACAAATACATATTTATATAGCTGTGTGTAGTTCTTCCTGTTAATAGGTGGGGATGCTTCCGTTTCACCACACAAGTAATTAAACAACCCACTGTTTGTTATTTTTGTTCTGGGAGTTTGGAAGGAAAGTCACCATGGAAACACGTTTCCTATTACCGTAGGAGCCATAATATAGTTATCACAGAAACATTTACGTAACAGAATTTCAATTTAAAAGTCCAAGCCAGACTACTGTAGCATAAAACAAGAGTAAAACTGGTTGAAGATATTCTGGAGCTGTTATTGATTCATGTGACTTATGAACAAGTCCAGGAATTGTGTCGTAAACTATACAACTGGGTAATTGGTCACATACCTCTATATACCTAAAGTCACGTGTACAACACAAAGTAAAAAAAATGAGAGTGTAATAGTCACCGGGATTGAACAGAATTTTTATAGCGTTTACGGTAATATCGACTCAATGAGATATACCAATTCCATGTAACCATCAGGTGTACAATAGACGTAAATGTACTTACATGTTCGACAGACACAAGGTAACCGTTTTACCTACATGTACAACAGACACAAGGTAACCGTTTTACATATATGTACGATAGACACAAGGTAACCGTCACGTGTACGATAGACACATGTAAATTTACATACATGTACGACAGACACAAGATAACCGTTTTAGATATATGTACGACAGACACGAGGTAACCGTTACGTGTACGATAGACACAAGGTAACCGTTTTACATATATGTACGACAGACACAAGGTAACCGTTTTACCTACATGTACGACAGACACGAGGTAACCGTTTTACATATATGTACGATAGACACAAGGTAACCGTCACGTGTACGATAGACACATGTAAATTTACACACATGTACGACAGACACAAGGTAACCGTTTTAGATATATGTACGATAGACACGAGGTAACCGTTACGTGTACGATAGACACAAGGTAACCGTTTTACATATATGTACGACAGACACAAGGTAACCGTTTTAGATATATGTACGACAGACACGAGGTAACCGTTACGTGTACGATAGACACAAGGTAACCGTTTTACATATATGTACGACAGACACAAGGTAACCGTTTTACCTACATGTACGACAGACACGAGGTAACCGTTTTACATATATGTACGATAGACACAAGGTAACCGTCACGTGTACGATAGACACATGTAAATTTACATACATGTACGACAGACACAAGGTAACCGTTTTACCTACATGTACGACAGACACGAGGTAACCGTTACGTGTACGATAGACACAAGGTAACCGTTTTACATATATGTACGACAGACACAAGGTAACCGTTTTACCTACATGTACGACAGACACGAAGTAACCGTTTTACATATATGTACGATAGACACAAGGTAACCGTCACGTGTACGATAGACACATGTAAATTTACATACATGTACGACAGACACAAGGTAACCGTTTTAGATACATGTACGACAGACACGAGGTAACCGTTACGTGTACGATAGACACAAGGTAACCGTTTTACATATATGTACGACAGACACAAGGTAACCGTTTTACATATATGTACGATAGACACAAGGTAACCGTCACGTGTACGATAGACACATGTAAATTTACATACATGTACGACAGACACAAGGTAACCGTTTTAGATATATGTACGACAGACACGAGGTAACCGTTACGTGTACGATAGACACAAGGTAACCGTTTTACATATATGTACGACAGACACAAGGTAACTGTTTTAGATATATGTACGACAGACACGAAGTAACCGTTACGTGTACGATAGACACAAGGTAACCGTTTTACATATATGTACGACAGACACAAGGTAACCGTTTTACCTACATGTACGACAGACACGAGGTAACCGTTTTACATATATGTACGATAGACACAAGGTAACCGTCACGTGTACGATAGACACATGTAAATTTACATACATGTACGACAGACACAAGGTAACCGTTTTAGATATATGTACGACAGACACGAGGTAACCGTTACGTGTACGATAGACACAAGGTAACCGTTTTACATATATGTACGACAGACACAAGGTAACCGTTTTACCTACATGTACGACAGACACGAGGTAACCGTTTTACATATATGTACGATAGACACAAGGTAACCGTCACGTGTACGATAGACACATGTAAATTTACATACATGTACGACAGACACAAGGTAACCGTTTTAGATATATGTACGACAGACACGAGGTAACCGTTACGTGTACGATAGACACAAGGTAACCGTTTTACATATATGTACGACAGACACAAGGTAACCGTTTTACCTACATGTACGACAGACACGAGGTAACCGTTTTACATATATGTACGATAGACACAAGGTAACCGTTTTACATATATGTACGACAGACACAAGGTAACCGTTTTACATATATGTACGATAGACACAAGGTAACCGTCACGTGTACGATAGACACATGTAAATTTACATACATGTACGACAGACACAAGGTAACCGTTTTAGATATATGTACGACAGACACGAGGTAACCGTTACGTGTACGATAGACACAAGGTAACCGTTTTACATATATGTACGACAGACACAAGGTAACCGTTTTACATATATGTACGACAGACACAAGGTAACCGTTTTACATATATGTACGACAGACACAAGGTAACCGTTTTACATATATGTACGACAGACACAAGGTAACCGTTACGTGTACGATAGACACGTGTAAGTTTACATACATGTACGACAGACACAAGGTAACCGTTTTACATATATGCACGACAGACCGTTAACCGTTACGTGTACGATAGACACGTGTAAATTTACATACATGTACGACAGACACGAGGTAACCGTTACGTGTACGATAGACACGTGTAAATTTACATACATGTACGACAGACACGAGGTAACCGTTACGTGTACGATAGACACGTGTAAATTTACATACATGTACGACAGACACGAGGTAACCGTTACGTGTACGATAGACACGTGTAAGTTTACATACATGTACGACAGACACAAGGTAACCGTTTTACATATATGTACTACAGACACGAGGTAACCGTTACGTGTACGATAGACACGTGTAAGTTTACATACATGTACGACAGACACAAGGTAACCGTTACGTGTACGATAGACACGTGTAAGTTTACATACATGTACGACAGACACAAGGTAACCGTTACGAGAACGAATGGTATTATGTAATTGTTACATATTTGTAAATGCGGGAAATTTACAGGAGAAAGACGAGTGTACGCAGCGCTCATATTTTCATTATAAAAGATAAGCCAACACAACAGAGTATAAAAAGTACATCTGGTCACTAATCAGCTGCCATTAAAAAGAAACAGAGTAAAAAGAAGTTCTAATTTTATTAGAAAAAAATACATTCTACAAAATAAAATGTGGTACAAAAGGTTACCACAGAAAAAAATAAAAATCCCGCGTAAATATAGATTTTACAATATAGACTAAGTTTACAATGGTATTGTATATAGGTCACCATGCTGGTGTGTAGAGAATTCCACGACAAGCAGACTAAATTACTAATTACATTGTTAACCTATGTTAAATGTATAATGGTCAAAGCTCACGAAATAATGCAGAAGTCTTATATCTGACAAAGGAGAACATAAACTTATATAAGTGGAATGTTTACCCAGTGTTTGTAGTTTAATTTAACTATTGGAATATGCCAATTTAATTAATTTCCATGCACATAATATGAAATTTCAGAGTGATTGCACTGATAACCGCTAATTATTGTACAACAATGTTGAAGCTGTAGCATCCAGTGAATGACTATAGTAATATATAATGTTACCTTAAACGTCCTCAGTTAACAAGTTTATGTCCCAAGTACCAACAATTAATGACAATTTTAAACAGTGTTATGATTAATACATTAGTGTGTAACTATTGGAATTCCGTGATAAATGGTATATCTCCTAGACAGAAGATATTTCAATCATTGTCTGTAAACATTCTTATATCAACATGGTTTACTCTAGAGTTTGGCGTGGACTTTAAGTGTCTGTTGGAAGGATAGTTGCTGACCAGCGGCTATCTCTACCGGAGAGCTCACACTGCCCGCCTCCACACACACCATGGTCTTATACTCCTCGTTCCCGAAGTCGGACATGGTCTTGGCCTTCTCGCTCCACGGATTCCACACAACTAAAAATAACCATACATTGATTGTTCGTCATGCTTCGTCTAATTATCTCCTTCGTTCACACTTTGGAAAACCTGTCGAGTCCAAGTCATTACTACTGTGAATATTCTGATGGTTGTTTGTAGACAATTGATTGGGCCCAAAGAAACTAGTTCACAATCATCAAACACAAACACGAAGAGCCTTGGTCCAAACCATTAACCGGTACTCGACAAGTCAGTGATTCACTTGGAAGCGATTTAAATTGTGAGAAATGATGAGGAAAAGCATCGTCGGAGTTTTTATTCACGGATACATGATGTTTGCTAGCTTTGGTGACATAGTGGTATGTATGGTGTAACCTCTGAAGACACCTATTTTTGTTTTGCAGAATTCAATTGGTCACATTCCATTGGTTGAGAGGTTTTGGGTTATCCATACGAAAAATGTTATTAAGTCGATCATATGTCCCGTCATAAATGATTTTAAGAAAAACATTCAAAATAATCATCATTTACATAATGAAATACTTACCAACATCTGTGAAGTTGGAGAGATTCACCGACACTGTGTGGGAGCTACAGTCCATGGTTACTGTGCTAGGACACTTTTGGTAAACCCTGTTAAAATAAGGTTTCTGATACAGTTTATTAGAAGTTATTAAATCAACCCATCGATTAAAAATACAGTCGAATACAGTTGTACTGAAACTACGACAAACTAAAATTAGACTGTATTCACATATGTATATATATATATATATATATGTACCTGTACTTTTTTGCATGCCTAAATGTGGACATACATAATAAGACAGAGCTCACTTACAATAAAATCCACAGAAAATGAAGATGTAATGAGGTAATAATAAATATCTTAAATTTGAAGACGATTATTCACCAGAACATTCTGTACAAGTTTGGTAATGACTTCGATCAACAGAGAAGCTGGCGTGTTACTACTAAGGAAAGTCAATAATTACGATATTGAGGAAACATTCATTGTCAATGAAGGGTCATCCGGCTGGTTCAGTTACCGCCCAAACATAATTCTTCTATCAGTGACAACTAATCCATATCCTATCATTACAATGTATCAACTTCACCAGTGTTTTTATGGGAATTTTTACAGTTACAATGTCAGTTATAGCTAATGAAGAAAAGTAAAGAAAGTGACAGGAAGATAACATAGAGGAAGATTGTACAAAAAACTGCTGTTTGGACCTTCTTGAACTTGTCAGTGATGTTAAGGGCCTTAATTTCGAAGCCTAGGAGGCGACTGAGGAAAATTCAAAGTGATCGAAAGAAATGCTAAATCTAGAGGAGGAGGTGTACTAGCTCCATAATTAAATCAATCTCGTATTTTTATATATCACACAATTTAAAAACAACGTCAAGTGCATGTGGACGAATTAAAGTGTGGCGTGCAGGTTACGGCAAACCGCGAATACTTAAGTACAGGATAATGACGTAGAGGAATTAAAAGGTCAATAACTCATGAAAAAGTAACAGAATAAAAAAAAACAGATAAAGTTAATGTATAATAACGCAGAGAAAGTCTAGGACAATAACATAGAAAAAGTTACAGAATAACAGAGAAAGTTACAGGATAACAGAGAAAGTTACAGGATAACAGAAAGGTACAGAATAACAGAGAAAGTTACAGGATAACAGAGAAAGTTACAGAATAACAGAGAAAGTTACAGGATAACAGAGAAAGTTACAGAATAACAGAGAAAGTTACAGGATAACAGAGAAAGTTACAGAATAACAGAGAAAGTTACAGGATAACAGAGAAAGTTACAGAATAACAGAGAAAGTTACAGGATAACACAGAAAGTTACAGGATAACAGAGAAAGTTACAGAATAACAGAGAAAGTTACAGGATAACAGAGAAAGTTACAGAATAACAGAGAAAGTTACAGGATAACAGAGAAAGTTACAGAATAACAGAGAAAGTTACAGGATAACACAGAAAGTTACAGGATAACAGAGAAAGTTACAGAATAACAGAGAAAGTTACAGGATAACAGAGAAAGTTACAAGATAACAGAGAAAGTTACAGGATAACAGAGAAAGTTACAGGATAACAGAGAAAGTTACAGAATAACAGAGAAAGTTACAGGATAACAGAGAAAGTTACAGAATAACAGAGAAAGTTACAGAATAACAGAGAAAGTTACAGAATAACAGAGAAAGTTACAGGATAACAGAGAAAGTTACAGAATTACAGAGAAAGTTACAGGATAACAGGGAAAGTTACAGAATAACAGAGAAAGTTGCAGGATAACAGAGAAAGTTACAGGATAACAGTGAAAGTTACAGAATAACAGAGAAAGTTACAGAACAGAGAAAGTTACAGAATAACAGAGAAAGTTACAGGATAACAGAGAAGGGTACAGGATAACAGAGAAAGTTACAGGATAACAGAGAAAGTTACAGGATAACAGAGAAGGGTACAGGATAACAGAGAAAGTTACAGGATAATAACGAATATAAATTTACAGGATAATTGCGTAGACAGATACAGGTTAATGATATAGAACAAATAACAAGATTGTACAGGGTAATAGCGTTACAGGATGATAACGCGAAGAAAAGTGACATAATGATTACAGAAGGTTACAGGATGATAACCCTTCAAAAATACAGGATATTGTTAAAATACTCAAATATTATTATCTTCATACCTTGTAAATAACTATTAATGATTATCGTAACGTTTAAATAACTTTGACAGTAACAATAACAGCTCAAGGTGTACAAACGTTCTTAGTGAGGACAGTGAGACACGTGTACATACCTGTCATAATTCTCGGGAATCGTGACGTCGTCTCGGTCTTCCTGGAAGTCCTTACCATCCTGCACCTAACGTTGCAACAGAGATCATATGTATACCTGATGGTAACATGAAACGATGCTGTCAAATCCACATCACTGTCTATAATACCAGAAATAAGTATGGCTGAGGCGAGACTATATCAAAACACAATTTCATCTCTCGACTAGTTGATATTTTGTATCCTGTAATGTGATTTCGTGTAAACATTGAAACTTATATACCATATTATGGCCCTCTGTGTCGGGATACATACAGAACTGTTTCCCTGTGAAGGGTTTCTTTTCCGAGGGCAAAATAACCCTCTCCACAAGTTCACTACCGAGCAGACCATCAGAAACACTATCACAGTTAGCGCTTGTAAAGTTCCCATAAAGTCTTATACATATCGAATGTAAACGTGACTGACGAATTCATTTGAATACTCTTGAACAAATTCAATTGTCGACTAAACAGCATAAACTGACACGCTAATGCACATAAGTTTACAAATAAAACAAAATTAAGATTCATCTCGCATCTACCGCTAAAACTGGATACATAGTCAAAAAAATAAGAAAAACATATTAGTATCCACCTCCAACACCTTGTCTTCATGCATGCCGTTTTGCTGACGTCACAAATATACTGACGTCATTATCTCAAGAAAAATAATGAGTCGGGCGAGCCTATTTCTCCACATGATGTTAGTGGTTAAGGTCGGTTACAGAAGTATTCCACAGTCTTGTTCCCATAACATGGCATTTACATGTAACAGTTACGTTAGTCTCGTGTCATACTAACCTTGTCTGTGTATGTCAGACCCTTCAGTCCACGGACAGAGGTCGTACTAATGTCCGGTGTGAGGAAGTAGGAATGCATTAATGTGGTAAACGTAAAGCTCTCACCTCCTGTAGCAACAAACAATATCAAGGTAAATATCATATCCTATAATGTAACCATAGCAACACACATTATCAAGGTAAATCTCTCAACTCCTGTAATGTAACTATAGCAACACACATTATCAAGGTAAATCTCATATCCTATAAAGTAACCATAGCAACACACATTATCAAGGTAAATCTCTCATCTCCTGTAATGTAATCATAGAAACACACATTATCAAGGTAAATCTCATATCCTATACAGTAACCATAGCAACACACATTATCAAGATAAATCTCTCATCTCCTGTAATGTAATCATAGAAACACATATTATCAAGGTAAATCTCATATCCTATACAGTAACCATAGCAACACACATTATCAAGGTAAATCTCTCATCTCCTGTAATGTAATCATAGCAACACACATTATCAAGGTAAATCTCATATCCTATAAAGTAACCATAGCAACACACATTATCAAGGTAAATATCTTATCTCCCGTTAGGTAACCATAGCAACAACAGGATAACTTGTAATACTAGCCCAAACCTTGCTGATATGACGAGAATTACCTGTATTGTGTACGGTAAGCCTTGTTGATAGTGATGATGTGGTCAATTCCAATGTGTAAACCAGCTTAAACCTGTAAAGGAAGACATATTATAAATAAATCAACTTTAAACCTGTAAAGAAAGAAAAACAATTGTTAATCAACTTTAAAGTTTAATATTGTTTTATGGTTTGCTGTAACTGTGATTTATACGTAATATACATGTAGGACCACCGGGTATTAGAAGAAAACTTACTGATAATTCCAGACCTTCCTAGTATCCTCGTCGTCCGTCAGAGCTAGTGAACACTTCACTGTTCCGTTCTCCTACAAAAATGATACGTCAACATGATTCAATTTGCGCTATGTTGTCAAAACAATCGATACAAAAAATTACCAAAATTCATTGTTATTCTCATGCACACAGAGTATATTGGATAATTACATATAGAAGTTATTTTATAGAAAGCAGGAATCTGACCAAACAGTATACAGCTCTCAACTCGGCTTACCATTTGTGGCTGAGAGTCTACACTCCATCGTTTGTTCCTGGCGAATCCGTGTTGTGGACCGCATGTCCAGGGTCCGAACTGGGCTGTACAACAAAAAGAGAACGGAGATGTACCAACAAAAAGAGATCTTTGCTGTACAACAGAAGAGACATTTGTGGACAATGATAAACTACAAAGTTAGAACGACTATAAAGACATTGACGTAGTGTCAGTGTTGTTGTTGGCAGATTAAAAAATGTATGTGATTGCAAAGCCTCCACCAAACTGACTGTGTACATATTTTAAAATAGAAATACGTTTGAATTGAGATCCTTTTTCTCCGACATCTAAATGTATTATATATTGATTTGAAACATTTCACATTTGTCAACAGATAATCACAAAGTGTGTTTGTGGCAGTACTTACGGAATACTAATGGTATCCCTCCACGTATCGCTTTCGAGCTATCTAGTACGGCTTGTTTACTGGAAAGAAGTTTTAAAGCTGACAGTGCTTAACAATTCCATTGAGTATATGTGGATCACACAGAAATCCAAGAAGAGGCGTGTGGGCCTTATACAAGAGTCTCGTATAGCAATAGTGTGGACAATTATTAAATGAATAAAACAATTATTTAGCAGGAAGAACAACATTTTCTTCGTCTCTGTTCCTCAACATTCCAACCAATTTTTAGAACTCTTTCGTGGAACTTGTGTTTTAAATGTGTGTTGTTTTTTCCTCTTGAAAATCGGTATTGCTCAATTATGTTAAAAACGGTCGTCGTGGCCAACATGCCAAGTTTCCACTAGACGAAGTGTAACACTTTGTCAGCTTCCTTTCCTTAACCTCCCCTTCACATCTCATCTCAATGCCACCAGTCTTAGTGGTGAAGTTTGATTAAAGCACAGACGACCTCAATATGACAGTGGGAAGATTATTAAGAATTTGAACATGATGATCATTCGATGCCATCATGACGATCGTGACCATGACAACGACCATAAAGTTTCTGTAGCCATGGACGATAACAATCATGACGACCACACAATTTATGTAGCGTAACTCGCTACTTCTGTGGTAGAAAACCTTTACTACGTCGTTTGTTGGTCGACATGATTCACCTATCAAGGAAAGGCACACAATGCTGCTATTATGCCCATACTTTGATGAAGAGAATAAGCAATATGTTTACCAAACTCTGTAGTTTTTAGTGACCATTTGTATCATATCTTAAACAAAGCCCAATATGGTTGCAACTAAAATATAATACTCGTCCCGTACAATAGACTGAGTATAACGTCCACGAACGAGAACCTTCATCTGGATCATAATAATTTCAAATGAAAAGCAGTTTGTGTGCTTACTTTCCAGAGATTAAAGGCATACATGCTAGGTAAGTTGTATTACATCATGATATACCATATCTAGTGACTTATTTACAACCCTATACATACCTAAGGAATAATATTTCTCTTCCACCGCATTTCCATGACAACGCCGTGGCACCTGTGACACAAGGGACATAATTCAATATATATCCACATTTAAAACTCACGCGCATAAATATAAAAACGAATAGATAAATAAATAAAGCATTTCCCTCATTTCTCAAATGGTCGACATTTTAGTTGTCGAGGTGAAGAGGGCTTTGCTACAGACTCCATCGTACAGGTAGATAGTTGTATTGCTTACTTTTTCAGTACAGTCCTCCTTCAAATCAGCAAACTTGTTATGTGTAGTTTGGAAGTCATGGAACTAAACATACCAGTCCCCTATATATGGTTATCCCTCCAATATGCGCCCCCTAATTTGTTCTTAGTCTGGCAAAGAGAGGGAAGATGTTGGGTGTAGGATTAGGTCTCGAGAAAAGTATTGTCAGTATAAAGGGGAGCTCAAAGTCACGTGCACGCGTACAACACCATTCAATCACCTGTTTACCAGAGTGACTCTCTACTAGGACTAGAAACATCCAATTTACCACTCACTCCAAGACGTGATGAGTAAACAAAGAAAATCAACAATATGCTCTTATATGAAATGGATGTATACTAAATGTAGATGTGGTGTAATCTACCATCCTACAGGAAATTTGTATGAGGCTAGAAAGTCTTTGATATACCTTCAAATTAAATTTTGATAGCACATTACAAGTTACACCAAATGGACATGTCAGCTGTCGGTGTAAGTCGTACATCAAACTGAACTGTGTCTGTGATGTCTATATAGACTTGATTTAACAACCTCACAGATTAAGTACATACTAGCTAATGTGAAACTTAAAAACATTTTCCAAATATTTTTATAAGTTTTGATATACAAATATATATTGGACTGGAATTCCACTTAACTCCCCAGTCCTATCTGATAAATCATGCAAAATGTAACGCGCGGAAACAACTTACATATACATATATACGATAGATTTAAATCTTAAAATGTCCTTCAGATTAGACCATAAAATTTATATTAAAGACCCCATTTAAATTGAAAATTTGCTAAACCAACCGAATAAGTGACACATCGATATCAACACAAACACATCAAATCTGATAAGTCCTCATCCTGAAATGTATAACACCTGCCACATAATTATCATCATCCTGTCAGCTCAAGCAAACCCCGGCTAAAAACCTGATAGGACCTGTGTTTTGTACACCATGTATTAACTTGGTACATGTAACTAAACCTATTTAATAAATTACCCGGAAACAAACAAATAAATAAAAAAATATATATACGTTATGTATACTCTACCGTTTGATACAAAAAGCGTCAGTTTTTTATTTTCTGAACCATGACAAACCATTTTACGGTACTATGCTTCATTGGTATTTGTTTATTTATTTATTTTCATTTATTTATTTTTACGACAATGTTGTAACTTCTCAATATTCCTCACCAATTCACAGCAAACCATATTCATACGGGGACATACTATGTATACATGTTTCGATACAGATAATCTGCAAACAAGAAATCCACTTTGCTAGTTTACATGAAATATTTATCAATTAGATCTATAGTGGAGGTCGAACATATCGCAAATTACAACCTATAATTTTACGATAGGAGAGGGGCCTGACGTGACATATAAGTGTGCCGAACACCTAGGACATATGTAAATAACACAGGTCACATGTATCAGTCCCAAACATTAGTGAAAAGCATGCTGAAATGTTCTGTGGTTCGAACTACCGACCATAGCTTTCGGACTGAACTTTCAATTACAATGCAGCTGTCTCTGTTATCCTCACCGTGCAAGTGAACGACCACCGACGTCCCCTCCCCTCCGTCCAACAGTACAACGTCACTCTCCTGTACACGAGCCGCAAGGTCTGTATCCATGTTGTATTCTTCAGAACGTTACGATTGTCGCTTACAAAAGTGCCGTACCGTTTTGTTTACAAACCCACAACGTGTACGTGTATTCGCATTTCCGGGTTTGTGATACAAGGGAGGTAACTCCAACTTCAAACGAGACGAAACTCCTACCGAAGAACCCAATTTACACTGCAACTGGACCGCCGTTGTCGGAATGTACTTGCCACATATAATTTTACTGTATTCGGCAGTGACGGAAAACAGCTGACTGTTGGCACGCGAGGTAATTCGACAGAATTGATCCCAGAATTTACTTAAATACAACATTTAAAAATATAAATAGTTGTTGAAATAAGCTATTTTACATAATGTAATGAACTAGTTGATTGATGAAAATTCATAAAACCGTAGTTCTATATTTCGGAGGATGAAAAAAATTCAGGTGAACTATACCTTGTGTACTTTGATTAATGGTTATGTTTTTGTTTGTTTTGTTTTGTTTTTTAATGTTCTCTTTATTGTGCTGTAGATGCTTAGATGAAGTAATTTGTCTTCTTCTCTAGCTGGCACATCATGTAGTATCCTTTGTCCCATCAACTATCAGACACGTGTATCTGTATGTTTCAGATATAATCTATTTGTCACTGATGGTACTCACTATGTACTGTTTTCACGTAAATAAGTTGAAGCATCGAATTTTGATTTTGTTGCTATTTATTGACTATGGCGGATGTAAATGTAGCCGAAAGTTGCGACGATATATCAGTAAGTGTAAGTGACGGCAATCACACCCCTCGTTACACAACCCTCACTAACGTGGTGCTACCCGACATGCTAATTAGCCCATGGCAAAATGGACAACGCGAAAACGTCATCTGTGATGCTGATGATAGTGACTGGGATGATACCCAAACCAGCACCTCGACTGAGAACAGTGCTAATACCCATAATACTAGTACAATGAAGTATTATATCACTGAAATTGAAAACATTAAAAATCAACCACGAACAATAGTAATTGACTACATCCGAAAATTAACCAGAGACAATGTCACGGACTTAGAGATGATCAGGAATGAACTTTATCAGAAAGCCGTAGCGCGTGATGATTTCCCCGTGAAAGATGGTTATCTGAGACGACGAATTGAAACGCGAAAATGGGGTCAAACTGTACCTGCGTCCTTGCAGAAAAAATTATCGAAAGACTGCTTTACTTTGTTGCTTGCATGTGACGGTGAATTTTCTGATGATATCGCAGAAGTTGTACCCACAAAGAAAAAGCGAATCGGTAGCGTAAACGCACCTTTTCAAAAATCACAGACACAATCTGACGATGTAGCTGGTGTACATGTGTTGACCGAAACTGTGGTCGCGATACAACGAGAGATCCTCGAATTGAAAACAAACTATAATGAACAGATAGATGAACTGAAAAGCACAATGAAGAAACTTTTGAAAGAAAAAGGTGCCCAAAATAGAGCTAAAAAGTTTCAGGTGGAGATAAAGACATTGAAAAATCAGTTAGAAAATTGTGAGAAAGAGAACGGAACAATTAAAAGTAAATTAGAACAAATAGAAAAGGAGACACAACAGAAAATCGAAACCATAAGACAAGAAAACAACAAGTTGGAGATAAATGTTAACAACAATAAGGAAGACATTAATGAGCAAGACAATTTAATTCAAAAACTTGGTGTAAATATCGAAAAGAAAATTAACATATTGAAATCTGATATTTCTGGAACTAAGGAGAAAATGACAGACTGTCTGAATATCGCACAAAGATATGATAATGAACAACAAAACGGTGTGGCGAGTCTTAAATACCAAATAAGGCTTACAAATCAGAAAATGAAGCAACAAGATACGGAGTACAAAAACTTAGAAGAAGCGATAGAACATTTAAAATTGTCGACATCAACTCTACAAAAACAACTAAACGATCTCAAAAAGAGGGTTTCAAAGGACCACAAAGACGCCCAACGAACAGTTATGACACAAGGCAAGTCGAGGGACAACAAAGCAACACAGCCGACACTTAATCTGTCAAACAGATTTCATGTGTTAGACGACACCAGCAGCAACAAGCAAAGGAAAAGTGATACTATCAGCAAATTTGCAAGTGATGGTACGACAGACAAACGGATAAACGAGGAGCCAAAACCTATACCAGTTCACTGCTCTTCATCAGTGCCGAAAATTTCTCCACTAGAAAAATCTACAACCGATAATACCAGGATTGAACAGACAAATGATAAACCAAAACCAATACAAGTCCACTGCCCTTCATCAGTATGTAACATACAGCGCGAACAGTTTGGTGGATTTAAACCTGTGAATCGTAGTAGAGTCCAAAGATTCTATGTGCATGGTATCAATAAGGCCACTTCGTCAGAGGAGCTGATGCGACAATACCTCGAGCGAAAAAATGTCAAAGTTACTTTTCTTCGATATTTCGAAAGGGACTACAAACGAACAGCCTCGGCACAACTAAACGTGGTAGATGACGGCAAATGTTTTGTTGGAAACCGGTCTTTCTGGCCAGAAGGCATATATGTACGCCCGTGGCTTCCTCGCGAAGTATTTCTAACTGAGAATGGGCGTGGCTGAAAAACTTAACATTATGTGTTGGAACATCGAGGGGATAATGGCTGGCACGCCGTATCTTCTTAATTGTCTCAATACACACAGCATTGATATATGCGGTGTCTCCGAACACTGGCTGAGAGAATATAGCATGTCCTTTTTTGATACTTTTAAAAGTAGCGGTTACTCTTATATAGCAAAACCAGTCTATGAAATTGACCCACTACGTTACAGATGTAGTATTAGAGGTGGTGTTGGTATTCTGTACAAAGACAAATCGCTAATTGTTCAAGAAATCCCTGTGGATAGTCCGAGAGTTATTGGAAGTGAGATTCAAACTCAGAATGGGGAGCATATATATTGTTTTCTGGCTTATATGCCAGCCTCCTCGAGACCTATTGAAATGTTCACTGACCACATAGACCTATTAGAATCGCTTGTCTCTGTTTATTCGGAACAAGGACTAGTGATAGTTATAGGTGACTTAAATGTTAAAATTAAGGGTCCCCGGTACCAATTTAAAGATGACGAGAGATCCACAATTTTCCGATTATTTTTAGATAGAATGAACCTACTGTCTGCCAACGTACAATCAGACTGCAAGGGACCTGTTTATACATTTTGGCCTCAGACGGGTAACTGTACTTGTATTGACCATGTTCTTGTCCAGTCAAATAAGATTGACTTAGTTGATTCATGTGAAGTACTAGATGATGAAGCTATGAATGTGTCTGAGCACAGCCCTATTGTATGTTCTATAAAGGTCTCACCGTTGCTATATCGGTGTAATGCATCAAATACATCAAATTTTGTGAAATATAACTGGAAAAAAGTCCTGCATAACGGTAATATTAATAATTATATGCTGGAGTTGGGAAATAATTTAAAGTTAATAGAATTGCCTGCCGGACAAATGTCTAACGAATGCATAGACCAGTTCTCCAAAGATATTGTTTCAGCTATATTGCAATCCTCCAACTCTACCTTGCCTATAAAAAAGTACAAGAGCTATTTAAAACCATATTGGTCTAAAGAATTGTCAGAAATGCACACTTCGGTGCAAATTAAAAGGCAAAAATGGCTAAATGAAGGAAAACCTAGAAATTTCTATCATAGTTTTCTGCAGTATAAAGAGAGCAAAACTTCTTTCAGAAGAAAACTTCGTGATGCATTTAATAGGTATATGTCTGAACAATTTAATGAAATAGAAAAATCCAGTGAACTTGACCAGAATTTATTCTGGCAATTATACAAAGGTAAATCTTGTAAAAGCAAAACACTTCAGACTGAAATGAAATACAACAATGTAATTTTACGAGACCCCAAAAATATCGTCGAAGCGTGGGCGACACATTTCGAAAATTTGTTCCATGATAAACCGAATGAAGAATTGGACAACACGTTCCAAAGAGAAATCATAAACCGCGTGAACGAAATTGAAAAGAAAGTTCATAATGAGGTAGACATATACCTGAACGAATGCATTACCACTTCAGAAATTGCCTTGGTGTCTAGAGGTCTCAAATCTAAAAAAGCAGGAGGGTGGGACGGTATAGTATACGAACACATTAAACATGGTGGAACAGTACTTTTTGAATATATCGCCACCTTATTTAATAATGTCATAAAAAACGAATACATTCCAAAAGACTGGAAAAAAGGCATTATTATAACATTGTATAAAGGTCAAGGTAAAAAGAAAGAAGACCCCAACAGCTACAGGGGGATCACATTATTACCTGTATTTTTTAAAATATTTGAAATGGTTTTAGCACAAAGAATCCAACGAGTTTTAAATTCCCGTGTATTTCCAAATAGACAACAGTCTGCCTATCAAAAAGATTTGTGTAGTCTATGCACATCATTCAGTCTTCAAGAATGTATAAGTCACAATATTGAATATGGTTCCAACGTCCATGTTGCTTTCTTAGATAGTAACAAAGCGTTCGACACTGTGTGGCACGCTGGACTATTGTACAAAATTTATGAATTAGGATTAAATGCGAAGACGTGGATTTTACTAAAATGTATGTATACAAATGTTGAAAGTTGTGTTTTATTCAATGGGTTAAAATCCTCCATGCTCAAAATGGAACGTGGAATATTACAGGGAGGGGCATTGTCTGCCAAAATGTACCTAGTATTTATTAACGATTTACTAAATGAAATAGAGAATTCTGGCCTAGGAGCAGTAATTGTTGATTTAAATGTTAATGTTCCTACTCAAGCAGACGACATCTGTTTGGTCAGTACGAGTCTTAGAAGTCTTCAGAAAATGATATCAATAAGTGAAAATTATAGTAAAAGATGGCGTTTTTCATTCTCTGCTGTAAAAAGCAAAATTGTTACCTTCACAAACCCAAATAGTAGAACTTGCACTGTGTATAATGAGCTTTATCTGTACAATTGTATTATACCACAGACTGATGGCATTACACATGTTGGTATCTTATTAAACTGTAAACAGAACTCATTTGA